CTTTTGTGGAATTATAAGTGATTTATAAATAGGATAATATTTTAAGGAAAAAATTCCTTTCAACTATAATAACCAGTCCATACAGGTTTTTCTTAGTTACTAAGAAGGTTATCTCACTATTTAATTTCCTTTTAACTTGCCTATTTTATATCCATTATCTGCCCTTACTTGCATTCTAATTTTACTTGATTTTTCCCTTCCATCTTGGGATGCTATCTTTGTCCACTTTATTTTTTTTGCAAAGGTCACTTAACCTTGTAGAAAGAACTGAAACTTTTTACAATTTTCTTTCCTCTCAAAATTTCCTTAAAATGCAACCTCCTGTTTTTTAAGGTAATTGAAAATTTCTTCAGTTCCTTTGAAGGAGACAATGACTTTAATTCAACTCTCTATAGGTTCATGAATCAGGAACATTTACATATTCTTATAAAATAAAGTTTAGATATTTCAAATTGAAATATTATGAAACAATACTTCACAATATTAAAAACGTACTGCCTGAAAATATCCCACCTTCCCATTTGCATTGTTGCATTTGTCTCATTTCTCCTATTTATTTTGCTCATAATCTATATATCTGCTTGTTTGCAACAGCTTTTACATAAAGTCCACTGTTTAGTCATTTCATTAGTTTCTGTTACTCATTTAAATTCACTGAATAAGCAGATTTACGTAATACAGCTCCAGTGTTCTGGGTTTATTGCTTTTCTGCTTGAATATTTATCCTAATCATCTAGATATATCTTGCGTTTTAGAACACTCATCATCTTTCGTATCTAAACAGCCTAACTGTACTCCTCACTTGGTCCAGAGTTGTTTATCAAGTAGTGTTCTTAACTACAAAGTTTCTTTAAAACTTCTTTCATTCATATCTAATTGTCTTGAGTTATTGTAAGAAAATGTACATTGCTTTTTGAAATCTAGACTTACTACTTCTCATATCACCTTTATTCTTAAAAATTCATTTAATAAATCTGTAGTGTCTTCTCAAAGTGAATTCTGTGACTTCAACTTACATAAGTTTAAATGAGTATTGCCTCATACTTGCTACATTCTAATTTTTGCTTCAGAATAAATGATCATAGCTTTGATATTAGATAAGTTGGGATGGTAGATTTCCTTATATTATTCACAGGATTAAATCTTACATGAATGTTCCAAAAACACTAATAAAGAAATAATGATGATAGCTACCATTTACCAAATAGTTTCTATTTGCCATTAAGCTGAAAGTCAGTAACCTGACAGTTTAAAGTACTTGGCAATAACATACAGGTGGCAAATGGTTAAGCCACAAAGATGTTGCAAAAGACTCATGTTATAGGTAAGTTCTCTACATTCAGAAAGTCAACATGGTTATTCTCTAGTTGTAATTAGTACGACTGTTTCAGTGGTAACAGGATAGTTAGTGTTTTTATCTCTTTCCTGTATAGATTCTGATAATTTTAAGTTATAAAGCAGAAGAAATTTATAGTCACTGGATTTCTAAGTTTTCTGTCCTATACTAGCTAATTAAAATCAAGGGTTTCCTACATTAATCATATCATAAATTCTATAATATTCATTATGGTGTAAGTGTAGGTCTTATACATACCTCACTTTCATAAGGCTTCTCACCAGCACAAATTCTTTATTTAAAAGGATAGCTGAGGGACAGATAAAAGTGTTTCCGTCATTTCTTAATTTGTAGAGTTCCTTTCCAATATGAATTTGGTAATGTGGAGTCGGGACTTTTAAATAAGTAAAGGACAATACTCGAATAGGAGCACAGAGAATTCCTCACCTCAATATGTGTATTCGCTGATGCTTTTTCACTTGTGAAACAGAAGTAAAGGCCTTCCCACAATCCTTACATTTATAGGGTCTCTCACCAGTATGGATTCTCTGATGTTGAGTGAGGTGTGCCCTCTGCCTAAAAGCTTTCCTACATGCCTGACATTCAAAGGGTTTCTCACCTGTGTGAATTCTCTGGTGTTGAATAAGAGTTGAACAATCAATAAAGGACTTCTTACATTCTTTACACTCATATGGTTTCTCACCAGTGTGAATTCTCTGATGTCTATTGACATAGGAAACACAGGCGAAAGCCTTCCCACATTCCTTGCACTCATAGGGCTTCTCACCAGTGTGGATTCTCTGATGCTGAGTAAGGTGTCCTCTCTGCCTAAAGGCCTTCCTACATTCCTGACATTCGTAAGGCTTCTCATCAGTGTGAGTTCTCTGGTGCTGAATATAGGTTGAATAACAGAGAAAAGCCTTCTCACAATCCTTACATTCATAGGGTTTCTCACCTTTGTGAATTCTCTGATGTTTGTTCAAGTTGGAAAGCCAAGTAAAGGCCTTCCCACACTCATTACATTCATAGGGCTTCTCACCAGTGTGAACTCTTTGATGTCTAGTTAAATTTGCACTCTGCCTAAAAGTCTTCCTACATTCCAGACATTCATAGGGTTTCTCATTAGTATGAATTCTCTTGTGTTGAATCAATGTTGAGAAACAGATAAAAGCTTTCCCACATTCATCACATTCATATGGTTTGTCACCAAGGTGAATTCCACTATGTTGAGCAAGGTAGCTATGACTTCCAAAGGTATCGCCACATAGCTGATAATCACTAGCATAATTTGATATGAGTTGATACTGAGTAAGCTGAAAGTCATAAGCAAAGTCTCTATTACATTCCTGAAACTCCTCATATTTCACTCCAGGAACACTTTGCTCATGTTTCATATTATCTGCATAAAACATAAAGTTATTCCCACACCTTTCAGTAAGTTTGTCATTGTTATAAATTCTTACGTATTGAGTAAGGTTTTCACATAGTTTACATTCATAGAGTTTCTCTCCAGTTTGAAGTATTTGACTTAGACCAAAAGGCGCAGGCTGGACAAATTCAGTTGATGTTTCTTCAGTATCTTCGAAAGGTTCTATCACATGCTCCAAGATTTCTTCTTTAATTTCCGGTTGTGTCTCAGGGAGTCCTTCATATTCCCAACCATTTCCAAAGCCAGATTCCTCAAGGCAAGAACTTTCCATTACTTTCCACTTTAATGGTGCCTTTTCAAAAATGTCATTGTTTAGAGATAACTCCTCAGTCTCATACCTAGAGGGCAATTCTAAAAAGACAAAAAACATTTTCCTCTTTTAGGAGAAATGAAACTTGTTAGAAACAGTCAAACAAAGGCACAGCTTAACTTTCAAATATTAGCATTCATGTTGGGAAAAACCATGGTTGGAATGATTACATTAATATCATGAGACAGGCTTCAAGGTTCTATTATCAATGATAACTGTAAAAAGGTCAACTCATGAGGAAGATGTAGTAATCAGAAATATGTAGGTATATAACAGAACCTCAAAATACATTATGCAAAAGTCGACAGAAATAAAGCAAGAAATAAAATTCTACAATCACAGTTTACAACCGTCTCTCAACTGGCAGAACAGCCAGCCTCTCCCCTAGAAACAGTAAACAGGGGATATAAATAACACTGCCTATCACTTTGAGTTAAGGTGTACACATGCATTCAAAACAGATCACATACTGGGTCATCAAACCAAATACGTTAGCAAGGATAGAAGTTACACAGTTCTTTGATCAAGAGGGAACTAAATTTGAAATTATTAAAATATGTAGAAACCCTAATATTTGAAAATAATCCATAAAGGAAATTAGAAGATATTTAGAAATGGAAAACAATATTGTTTTTAAAATGTGTTGGGGAGCTAAGACAGTACTGAGAGGGAAGTCTGTAGCTTTAAATGCTTATATTAGGAAAAAAAGGCACAAAACCAAAGAAAACTTGCAGTCAGAAAAACACATATTAAAAGTAAAAATCAGAAAACTGACAAATAGAACCCATTAACAGAATCAAAAGCTAGTTTGCTGAAAAGATCTTCAAGCTTGATAAATCCCTTGGTCAAACTGACCAAGAGCATAAGAGGATACAAATATCAAGAATAAAAGTTACAAACCCTACATTAATAAAAATGACAAATATGAACCATTTTATGCTCATGAAAATATATAAGATTTCCAAATATACACTTAATAGTGTAAGTATAATATTAAGTATACACTTAATAGATATACAAGTTTTTCATGTTATCTATTACAGAAACTGAATTCATGGTAAAGACACTGCTGAACAGACAGACATGGCTTGAATAGCTTTATTGGTAAATTCTACCAAGTGGTCAAGGAAGAAATAATACTAATTCTACACAAAGTCTTCTGGAATATCGAAATAGCTATGAACTCACTGAAGAAGACCAACATTATACTGCTAAAACAAATTAGAAGACTATAGATTTCCCTCGTGAATATTCGTGCAAAAAAGTCCTTAATTACTAGCAAATAGAACCCAATTGAATATAATACATAATGAAACAAGACTCAGTGGAGTTTATTTTATGAATACAAATAACATTTGGATGTCAATGTCATTCAACACATTAATATTTTAAAATGGAAATATGACCACTTGGATAAAGGCAAAAAATATTTTGACAAAATTCTACAGTTATTGTAAATGTTATCAGATTAAGGACAATTTTCAAGTAAAGGGTATCAGTCAAAAATCTGTAAGAACATTCAGTAATGAAATACTGAAGGCTTTTCCTGTTAGAGACATGGGTATAATCAAGATGCTTATTATCCTAATTTGGTGATGGTTACATAAGTACACACATCAAAGTTTATCAGCTTGTATACTTTAATACATGTCAGTCATACCTTAACAGAACTACTAAAATAAGTTCTTTATAAAAAAAAAATCTGCTATTTGCCCCCGTTTCTCAAAGGTTTTCTTAGACTTTGGGCTTCAAAAAATATATATAAAAATAAAGCCTTGGGCCTCTGAGGGAAGCTTCCCATACAATATCTCCAAAGGGGCGACAGTACCACTCTGACTAGTGTGGGCTTCCCTGAAATACATTCTTGTTGCTCTCAGCCCTTACTCACCTGGATACCATTCTGCTTTCTCAGCCATCCAGGGCTCTTTCCCTTGTTCCAACAGGGAAATCACTGATGGCTTAGAAATGGCAAGTCCTGCTCAAAGAAATAGGATATTAAAAATACAGAAACCAAAACCTATTGTGATTTAGAGCTGGTTTAACCTAAAGCAAATTCAGTTTCCTCAGAAGGATGATGGAAACAGAAAATCACCATTTGGCAAACACCAGCGTAAATGATTATTGCATGCAGGAATCATCAATGAAAACTAAAATAAGTGAGGAAAGTATCACAAGAAAGAGAATATTTGTAGAGTTTCAAAGTACTTCACAACAAGCTACTTACTGTTTGCAAAAGTAAAAGTAGTGGCTTTACAATGCAGAACCTAGAGGACGCCACTTTAACAAACAGATCAAAGTTAGCATCACCAGTAACAAGACATGTGGACATCATTTATCTCCTGATATGATGCACTGAAAAAGGGATAACATCATTTCTGTGGTATTCTTGCCAAAAACACATGAGCTTAATCTAATCATAAAATACCAGACACACCAAAATCCAGGGCGATTCTATGCAATAACAGGCCAGCACAGTTCACGAAAGAGAAAGGAAATATCCAAGATTGGAGAGGCCTACACAGACATGACAGTTAAATACAATGTGTGATCCTGGATCAGTACAAAAATGCTACCAGGATAGTTAATGACATTTGAATAAAGTGTAGATAGCTTTATAATGTATCAATGGTCATTTTCTGATTTAGTCATTGTTCTATGCTTACATAAATGTGTAACACTGGGGGAACTGGCTGGAGAGTATATGGGCAGTTATTGTTTAATTCTAACTCTTGAATTTATTTTAAAATTTTAAAAAATGGGCCTCAGAAAAGCTTTTGAGCAGCAGAATGAAGACTGGAATATATTCCCATTAAGCTGACCGAAGGAGCACAAGGAACAAAACAATAAATGAGGTGGAAAGGTCTTGTATTTAAATACATACATGTGCCCTATCTCTAGTTATTTTGGTAAGAAAAACAAGACACTTCAAAACATAATCAGTGAGTCTTCCTATGCAAGTCCTTTATTCTTAAATGCAAAATTCCTAGATTGTAGCTTTCAAAAATAAAAATGCCGGGAGATGAGTTTGCCTAAATGTTAAATGAACCACCATCTCCTAAATTCTACAGGTTGCTCTGCAAACATCTCTCCATCATAATCTATTTCCTTAAGTATCACGAAGAAAAGTCCATTACATAAAGAGCCAACGGAAGCTGTTAAGGTTGGTGAAGAACAGGAAATACGAAAGTGCCTGAGAGAGGCACATTATTCCAGCAAGACAAAGTTCAAACCAGGGTTTTAGAAGAGGGAACAGAAACTTACATATTTAATGCAGCCCTAGAATTCCAGTGGAGAGAGCGCTTTCTGAACTGCAGGGAACAGGCGCACTTACCCAGTGATACGAAGTTGCCGTAGTTCTCCAGCATCACGTCTCGGTACAGGTCTCTCTGAGCAGGACCCAGGCACTCCCACTCCTCCTCGGAGAACTCGATAGCGACGTCGCTGAACATCACCAACTCCTGAGAGGAAAATTCCATGTAACAGTGAGAAAAACGTATTTCAGGTGAGTGACATTATTAAAAAGGACTTTCCTGAAAGGCATTCTGTGGTCAGAACTAGAACCTTGTAACACATCGGTGGGTGGGGTGAGAAGCGGAAATGGATATGCATATGCTGGTGAGCAGTCCTGGCTATGGAAGACACAACCTCCTGCTGCTGTGGGGAACTCTGAGTAATCTGAGCACATACAGGAGCAGTGAAAGGCAAAGAATGCAAAGAATGCACACAAAACTGAGCATCTCTATAAACACGCTGTGTCTCTGCAGGGAGAGCCTGGCGTTCAAACCCTCTACATTCCAAAGAGCAGAGGTCTCTGGCTCCTGGGAAGTCATCTCTGAACCCTTGAATATCCTGCTGTGCGCCCTCGGGCTCTATCAGTTTGACCTCTAGGGGGCCGGGATTAAGCAGCTAAAGTCAGCAGTGGGGGCACTGCCTGTACCCAAACAACCCTGGAGGTCAAGGTGTGGTTGTCTCCGTGGTTGTTACACATCACGACTGGGAGAACTAAGCACACCCTCTCACAGCTCCACTGGGATGAGACACCTGGAAATTCGCAATGACATCTGCTGGACTTTGTCCCAAGTTCTTTTCCCTTTCCTGATTTTAATCTGTATCAATGTAATAAACCACAATTGTGAGTGTAAGAGATTTCTGAACCCAGCAAGTCCAACCAAAGAATCATTGAGTAGGTGTCTAGGGGACTTGGCATCAGAAGGGGGATTTGCTAGAATGATCATGACTTGCTGAAACAAAGCAAAACTGTTGGGAAAAAAGAAACTTGAGTAGAGGCTGATGAATCACTGATACCTGGTGGATACCGAGTCACCCGCAGCATGAACAACTGCGCAGCGACCAGTTACTAGAGAGAAAAGTTACCAAGGGAGAGGTCGCTACTGCGGCACAGTGGGTTAGGCTGCCACTGCTATGCTGGCCAGTTTGGGTCCTGGCTACTTCACTTGCAATCCAGGTCCCTGCTAGTAAGCCTGAGAAAGGAGCAGAAGATGGTGCAAGTATCTGGGCCCCTGCTATCCTCGTAGGAGTCCAGATGGAGGTCCTGGCTTTGGATTAGTCCAACCTCAGCTGTTGCGGCCATGTGGGGGAGTGAACCAGCACATGGAAGATCTTCCTCCACCCTTTCTCTGTCATTGCTTGTCTTGCCAAAAGTGCTCAGAAATGAAAGCTGCAACTTCCAAGGGGCTATCTCACTGGATGCACACAGAAGGAAAACAACATAAAAGACAAAAATGTAAACCCTTGGTTGTTACCCACAGTAGCTAACATTAAAGGGGTTCATGGTGTGGATCCTGGCACTGCACCAAGGTCAGATGTGTGCGGCCAGACCAATAGTGTCAGAGCTGTCACCAAAGGCAACAACATCTCCATAACCTACAATCGCCAAAAATGTAGTCCGAGTGGGAGAGGAGAGGCCAAAATCAAACTGTTGAAACCAGGGGGTGTGGCAGGAAAGAGTGGCCTCACTTTGTAGTCTGATATTATCTGCTTCCCAAAGGATCTTTATGACAACAGATTGTGAGAATGACTGCCTTGGGAGCAGTCTCTTCAACATGAACACAGAGAGGGGAGGATGAAGTGTGTGCAGATGCATTCTGTTCCTTACCTGAACAACCACAGACGGCTGTATGTGATCCAGTTATGCCAGATGTGACAGCCTGATGACTGAATAGAAGCGGCCTTGAAGTTAATTTACTGAGATGAAAAACTGTCCCCTCCTTTAAGTGCTAAGTGGAACTTCCCAGATGAAGCACAGCTATGCTACATATGCAAGACACACTGCATTGGCTTTCTAATGTGCAGATGCTCAAGTATTTGCCCAGGTCAAGCCGAATACTGTGATTAGGGAGCTTTTTTGGGGATGGGCACCTACATAAACTTAGTAATGTAAAATCAAGCAATAGTTCAAGAAGCTGTATCAGACATGTGGCAAAGCTGCTGCTTAGGGTTCTTACAGAGGCCAAGAAAATTAAGAATGACTTACAAGAGTGAGGAAAGATAAAGACGGTCAAGGGACTCATTCTGCCAGTGTCTAACTCTTCAAATAAGAAATAGAGGAGGAGTCGGCACTGTGGCGCAGCGTGTTAAAGCCCTGGCCTGAAGCGCCAGAATCCTATATGGGTGCCGGTTCTATTCCCAGCTGCTCCTCTTCCGATCCAGCTCTCTGCTATAGCCTGGGAAAACAGTGGAAGATGGCCCAAGTCCTTGGGCCCCTGCACTCACATGGGAGACCTGGAAGAAGCTCCTGGCTCCTGGCTTCGGATCAGTGCAGCTCTGGCCACTGCGGCCATCTTGGGAAGTGAACCAGCGGATGGGAGACCTCTCTTCTCTGTCTCTACCTCTCTTTGTAACTCTTTCAAATAAATAAATAAATTCTTAAAAAAAAAAAATAGAGGAGCTGGCATTGTGGTGCAGCAGGTTTAGCCACTGCCTGCAATGCTGGCATCTCTTATGGCTGTGGGTTTTGGCCCCAGCTGCTCCCAGCTAATGCACCTGGGAAAGCAGCAGGTAATGACCCAAGCCACCTATGTGTGTCAGGCCACGAGGGCAGACAGGCAGGTATGCCTGCGTGTTCCATCTGGCCCAACTTGCTCACTGGGTCTTGGAGCCAGGTTCTCCATGCTGTGTGTACCACAGTACGCTACAATTTGCTAGGATCTCTGGCCCAGAGTTTCTGTGCTCTGCCCAGGCCTAGCATAGGACTCAGGGCCCCAGACTCCAGCCATTCCCACAGAAGCTGCCAGAGTTTGGATGCTGCTGCTCACTTGTTGCTTGGGCCTAAGGTAGCTGCTCCCAACCCAGCAAGCAGCCCACAGAGAGCGGCCCAAAACAGCTTGTCCAGTTGTCACAGCCAAAGTCACCTGCAGATCCAGCCACCCTCAGATAGCATTTGTGGGACCTGCCTCCACCAAGCATTAGTGCAACTCTTCGGATCTGGGCAGCAGCCAGGACTCTCTAAGTCCACCCAGTTCCAGAGCCAGCACTGACCCCACAACTCCAGCTGATTACTGGCTAGGAATGTATGCACCAGGCACACCCATAACACCAGTAAGGCCTGCTCCCAACACCTGAGAAACTCATCACACCAATCCCTCCCTCAGAAGATGGTTAGAGACCTGAGAAACAGGAATCTCAGTGATCACAATGACATGCAAACAGCCTAGAGCCGTAGTACAAATACCAACAACTAAAGCAAATAAAGGCATGGGGAGCCTATACTACAAAATCTAAACAGAGCTGAAGTTGAAGCATTCTACCAAACCACTACCCAGAGGCACATCTCCAGGAAAAAAGCCCTCAATCAAGAAAAACCATCCTCTGAAAGTGATAGGGGTCCAGCACTTGTGGCATACAAGGGATGCCTCTACCTGCAGCACTGGCATCCATATGGGTGCCGGTTGCGTCCCTGCTGCTCCACTTCTGATCCAGCTCTCTGCTAATGGCCTGAGAAGGCAGTGGAAGATGGCCCAAATGCTTGGGCCCCTCCACTGATGCGGGAGACCCAGAAGAAGCTCCTGGCTTCAGTTCCACCCAGCTCCAGCTGTTGTGGCCATCTGGGGAGTGAACCAGTGGCTGATATAAACAAGTGATCCCCCAGATACATAAAAATCATAAAACACAGCAATATGAACAAGTAAGGCAATATTACTCTCCAAAAGGAACATCATAATGCATAAATACTGGACTGAAGAAAGGAAGCTTGAGAGAATGCCTAAGAAAGAATTCAAGAGCGGTTGTAAGGTCAAAGAAATATAAGAATACAGTAAAACAATTCAATGAAATTAGGAAATAAGCTCCAATACAATAATACTGGAGGACTTTGATACCCCTTTCATCAATGGACAGAACAACCAGACCCTCCCCCCACCAAAATCAACAAGCAACAGAGCTAACTCATACTATGGACCTAGTAGATATCTACAGCACATTCTCTCCCACAGACACAGAATACACATTCTCTTCATCAGTGCATGGAACATCCTCTAGGACAGACCATATATGAGGCCATAAAACAAGTCTCCACAGATTCAAAAAAACTGAAAGCATGTCATGTATCTTTTCTAAACAATGGAATGAAGCTGGAAATCAACAAAGGAAATTCTAGAAATTATATAAACACATGGAGACTGAAAAACATGCTCCTGAATTAAGAAATCAAAAGGGAAGTAAAAAAATTTCCTGAAACTAATGAAAATACAACATACCAAAACTTATGGGATACTTCCAATCCAGTTCCCTACTAATTAGCCTGGGAAGGTAGCAGAAAATGGCCCAAGTGGTTGGATCCCTGCACCCATGTAAGAGACCGGATGGAGTTCCAGGTTCCTGGCTTTGTTGTGGCCATTGGAGGTGAACCAGTAGATGAAAGATCTTTCTCTGTGTGTCGCTTGCTCCCTCTCTCTCTGTAACTCTACCTTTCAAATAAATCAGTAAATTGAAATCAGTGAAATGAAAAAATTAAAAAAAATTGATAAATGATTGGCCCAACTAACCAAGAAAAAAGGGTGAAGACTCAAATTAATAAAATCAGAGATGATAAAAAGATACTGCAACTGACACATACAAAGAATTATTAGGAACTATTATGGACAATTATATGCCAAATTGGAAAAACTTCGCCGGCGCCGCGGCTCACTAGGCTAATCCTCCGCCTTGCGGCGCTGGCACACCGGGTTCTAGTCCCAGTCGGGGTGCTGGATTCTTTCCCGGTTGCCCCTCTACCAGGCCAGCTCTCTACTGTGGCCTGGGAAGGCAGTGGAGGATGGCCCAAGTGCTTGGGCCCTGCACCCCATGGGAGACCAGGATAAGCACCTGGCTCCTGCCATCGGATCAGCGCGGTACGCCGGCCGCAGCGCGCCGGCCGCAGCAGTCTTTGGAGGGTGAACCAATGGCAAAGGAAGACCTTTCTCTCTCTCTCTCTCTCTCTCTCTCTCTCTCACTGTCCACT